ACCGGCTGTTGTTATGCCTGCTGTGACGTTAAATTACTCCGTTCTCCGCTTGTAATTATGCCGTTACAAGCTTCAAAGTTGTATTTATCATCTGAATTTGCCTAAACAAGTTTAATATTCTGAAAGGCAAGACTTTGTTTAATTGAAATCAGATGAAAACAAACTGTAACGGACCCTGCCGTGTTATTTATGATTACTCTACGCTTACATTCATAATGTCAAGATCCGATTGCCTGTCATCTTCCCTTTACAAGCTTAAAGAATCTTCCCTTTACAAGCTTAAAGAATGTATTTATCGTGTGAGTTTGGAAATAAAAGTTTCATATTCTGAAAGCCGAGACTTTGTTTGTTTAAAATCAAACAAAACACCCGAACCCCGAAAAAATAGTTTTTTACGCAAATCCACGTTTATTTTGAAATGAGCCGTTGCAACTTCCGACTGATTTCGATAGAGCGGGTCACATATATCATGCAGTCTGTTCTTCTTCTCTCGGTTATCACGCAGTCTGTCTTCCGGTTGTTGCCTCTTTTGAATGACGAATCCACACTACCGCCGCCTGCTGGTAAGGAGAGTTATTGCCACTCACGCATGCGCAGTGCGTACGTGCTTCTTGGCCGTCGGCTGAAGTCTTTGCGGTGTGTTCCAGTGCGACACATGGCCAAGACGCAGAGACGTGAGGCGACACAACAGTCGGGTCCGTCGGGACGTGTTCTTTGGTGTCAGATTGGTGTGTCAGGGCCTTAAGAAGAGACTATTAAAGCAGCTAGATAGACAAACCTTAATAGAGAGTGGCCTGCAATAAAGACAGTATGTAGGCTGGTTATGTAAAGTAGTTTCTGATACTATGGGTTGCACGCTTTCCTGTTGGTAGATAACCCTCAGTACTAATGTCTTCCGCAACTCTTTCCACCTGGAGGATGGAAAAACGGTCAAAAATAGGACATTTTCATATATTTAATAAGTCTCTACTCTAGTGTCATTTAATTTGACACAAGAGACACTGAACCCCTAGGCTAAAGGGATCTGGGTAGACGGTCTTCCTGCAAGTTTATACTGCACGGGTGGCTCTAAAATAAGCAAGATATACACGACACACAGCCTTTAAGGATAATAACTTTTCCTTCAGCCTTACACAGTGTTTAGGTTAACTCTAATAATTCACTCTTCTCCGTGTCAGACTTGGACAGCAAAGAGCCGCCTGTGAAACAACACATCCTGCCAGTCTTTATGACTCACACACAGCGCAATGTGTTTGGATTTACTGCAGCACTACCTCACTTTTCTCACTTCAATCAGTGGGGAAGGCAATAAGATAACATCATAGGGTTTAAGAGGGAGGGAGGGGGGGCCTTGTTAACAGTGTGCACTGTGCATGGTTAGTCATATTTAGTAGTGTTACTTTAGAACCACATGCTTGTCATCCCCTCTCTTTCCTTTTTCCAACCTATCTGTGCCATCTATAACAAAGGTACAAATACCATCTATAAGAAAACACGAGTTCAGTAATAGCAGGGTGATAAGTCTCCCAAATCACAGCATGCCCCAGCCTTTGAAAGCATGCTAGCTCAAGTAATAAGCATGCAGTACCAGTGGTTTAAAGTAAATACGGTAAGTACATTAACCCAAGTACTACTGAACTTAAGTACAATTTTGAGGGACATTTTTGCTACTTTCTACTCCACTATTATTCAGAGGTAATTCATGGACTTTGACTCCACCATATTTAAAAAATATCTTAAATTACGTAGCAGATTTGGATTAATGAAAAAAAACTAAAAAGAAACACCTTAGTACACCTGGAGTGAATTAACAAGCTACTCTGCATTATACAAAGTCATTCAAACTAGCTGCACCTTTACCAGCTTTCATAACACTTTAATGATCAATCATTATAAAACATATCATATATATATATATTCATCTGAAATGGGCCAATGTGCATAATGAGTACTTTCACTTTCGGTACTTTAAGTATCTTTTTGTACTTTTAATTGAGTCACATTTTGAATGCAGGACTTTTACTGTAACAGAGTATTCCTACATTTGGTACTTCTACCTTTTACTCAAGTACAAGATCTAAGTACCATCTCTCCTTGACACCTAGATAGCATTAGGAGACAGGACACATATTTCCTATAGAGGTGTTATTGCCTGGCTTGGCTGTCTGCAGTGTCTGTTATCGCAGAGGTGGGTGTGGGATCAGCTAACGTTGTTTAGCTACTTTAAATCTGACAGGTGAGTGCAGACAGTGCCAATAATTAAAAACATGATGAAGCGGCCATTCTTACAATGACTTAAAACACCTCAATGTGAGTAGCAGTCAAACCCTTAATGTCCATATTGCTGTGCTATTGCACCAAGCCTCGTCTGCTTATCACAAACGCTGCTCAACAACAACCACCTCACAGTTAGCTCAGCTAAGCTAACACAAGCTAACACATGCTAACCCATGCTAAAAACAAGACAGCGTCGCCCCGGGTCTGTGGACTCACCTATTTGAGAAGACTTGAAACCGGATTGTGTTCTGTTCACAATGAGATATCCATTATCCCGGGGGAATGGTCGCGTGTGTGTTGTTTTGTTTCCTGTAGCTGTGAGAATGAAGTTTATTTCGCGGAGTAAAATGGCTGCGACTGGGTCTAGGTTCGGACGCGGAGTGACGTAATGACGAAGCCTTGGGGGGGAGTGGCGGAGGGATCTGTTCTGTTTACCGGTCAGTCAGCATTTATCGTCCTACCATCAGCATGACTCGATTTTTTTCAAACTAAACTACATCACAACAACACTCATACGTTGAACACTCATAAAGAATATCCTATGTCTGTTTTCTCCCCTCACATATGATGAGTAGTGTTATGGTTGCTGTGTGAATCTGATAGATATTTGAGGTGACACAAATCACAAATGCTCATTCTCACAACACAATACAGTCAAACTAATGCAGGAAACTCCTTTTAGATTTCATGATGCAGTCCCAGGACTTCCTTGTATGTATGACCACCCAATAATACAACTAATCGTGTCTTTTTTCTTGAATGAATGCGGTTTTCAGAAACTGAGCAACATAGAAACACCATGCCCAGCTAATGGGTGATTTTCATTTCCCATATTTTCTTGACTTTTTATAAATCATAAAGTGGAGTTTCTAAAAAGGGTCTAAGTACAATAAAGGGGTTATAAAACAGTGTTGTTCTAGAAAGATGTATTTATTTAAATAAAAGGTAAACAAAACTATTATAAAATATTTGATTCTTGCCAAGTTATTTAAGAACATGTCCCATTTTCAGAGTAGTTTACAAAATACAATAGAAAAAACATTGCAGTATATCAGTTCATTCTGTACATAAATATAATACTTTTTGATGACAGACTCATTCTGTACGGTGTGAATTCAGTCTGCATCATTTTACATCATGCCATTATCATCAAAATGTACATTGAAAACTAATCCTCCTGATACCAGGAATATTATAATTATATACATAAGTCAGATGCTTTGAAGAAGAAGAAAGTCCATTTGATTAATCCCTCTTGAAGCAATTCAATTTCCACACATCATGTCCACTTGCCCTTCTGCACAGGAGCAGGGACATCAGCATCATTATGCAGGAACTCAAACAGCTGCTTAGCATTTTTAGCATTCTCCAGTATTTCTGCCAACCTTTCCTGGCTGAGTTTGGCTAAATCTGCCAGGCTGTCTGCGTTTTTCACAAGAGCCCTGTAGTTTTTCATATTGACCCCAGGCATTTTCAACAGGAAGTCATACGGCCCGGGGTTGTAGAGGTCAGCTGATTCGGCCACCATGTCTGACTCGGCTGTGATGGCCTGAGCGGCGGCACCATCCGGCTCCAGGCGACCTTTCTTCAGATCCTCGAAGAGCTCGGCAGTGGCGTGGGGGGACGGGCACCAGAGAATACGGAGCCGAGGGAAATGCAAAGTGAGTAAGGTGAGTTTGGAAGAAACGTCATTGGCCGATATCTCATGACGGAAATCAGAGCGAGCCATCAAGGAAAAGGGTTTTGCTGGGTCAAACTCAATGAGCAGCACTGGTCTTTTGTAGTATCGAGTCATGGAGAGACACTGAGTGTAGAGGCGGCCGCTCTGCAGGGAGCCAATCAGATCACTGACGCTCTTCCGCTCGACGCACGTGTCCGGGGTCAGGATGTAGTCGCCCACTTCCAGGGTGACGGGCTCGATGTCCAGCCCGCGGCGGTGCAGCAACGAGGGCAGCTCACTGCGAAACTCACGCATGTCTACGATGACTCGGGACGGGTCTTTGGGCTGCTCCTGACCTCCTGGTTAGTGGACAGGAAATGGGAAAACAAAAAACACTTATTTAAGAAATCGTGGGGAATTTTATAAGGTAAGACAAAATAAACTGTCCAGGGGAACCAATAGATGTTTGAAAATGACAAAAAATAGAGGAAGGAGGTGAAGGTAGTGTTTTTTTGTTGTATTTTATGCCTCTGATAAAATATAAAAAGAATAATAATGCATGAAAACTTTAAAGAACAATTATTTATATAATTTTAAAAAATATTCATACATTGGAATGTGGGAAAAAACAAGTATCCTAAATATATAAAATAAATCCACAAAACAATAAATAAAAAGGAATCTGACTCTTTTAATAGAAATGCACAATGTCCTTGCACGTCTTTTTCTTAGTAGATAAAAGCCTACTTTTACTGGCATCAGAATATTTATCTTCAATACCAATTATTTTCGTCAATTTTTTTTAATTTAACGTTATAATATATCTTAAGTACAGAAAATAGGCGCGTTCACACCAAGTACTTTTCCCACAAAGGTTCCTGAGAACTCTTTAGTTCTCATGAACTAAGTACAGATCGCGTTCACACCGGAAATTAGTTCCTGGGGGTGGATTAGGCAAATGAAGCCGCTGACTTCACTTCTTCTTCTTCTCTGCTTTGGGTTTACTGGCAGGCCGCAAACAACTTCACGGCGTATACTGCCACCCGAAGTCCCCGGCCGGAAGTCCCCGGAGGTTGGGGACTGGCCTTCCGAGTAAATTTCCAGAACGCCGACACCTCCTCCTCTCCACCGCTCCCATGTTTTATTTTGTGTTGTAATAAATTAGTCTCTCTGCGTTTCTGCGCCGGGGTAATGCTAATAATGCTAATGCGAGGATAATAAAATGGCGGCTTCACAAAAGTGTTTGGGAGTTTGACGGGGCGTGGTTTGCATTCCGTCCAGCCAATCAGACACAGGAACCTTTTTCTCCCACGAAAGTCCCTTCTCTCTAGCAGGGACTGAAAAGGGGGTACAAAAGGTTCTCTAGAACTAATTTAGTTCCTGGGACTTTTTGGTGTGAACGCAACTAAATCGTAGTTCTCAGGAACCTTTTCCGGGAAAAGTACTAATAATAAAAAAAAGTTCCATTCCAGTGTCCGTATTTCTCTCTGGAATCTGCCATTTTTGCAAGAAGAATAACTCTAACAATGAATCACTCATCAAAATATTTGAAAATAGCGACTAGTCGTTTCAGTTCTATAGACATGCCTGCTTTGCGGGTGTTGGTGGTGGCGTTGGCAGGCCCTAAATTCCTTGCCAGGTCCAGGTTAGTGTCTTCCCGCCCCTCCCTCTCCTCTGGGATCACCATGGTAGCTTTTTCCCTGCGGAGAAACACACAGAGTCACCAAAGAGAAACCAACACAACAAAACATCACCGGACAGAGAGCAGCGTGTTTCTGACCTGATGAGGTGTTCGAAGGCTTTCTTTTCCCTGGACAGCGCCGTCAGGTACTTCTGTTCCTCCGTGGAGCCTCCGTAGATGAGGAAATACACCCTCAGTGTTTTCCCGGGCCGGCTAGCTTTGTAGATCTCCAGCTGGCGGACGAAACTGATCTCAGCGTCGTACAGCACCACGAAGCTGGGCTCCACCTCGTTCAGCACCCTGGTGAGGCTGTGGGGGTCAGTGAGGCCCTTCAGAGGGTGGATGACAGTCAGCGGCTCCTTCAGAACTCCATAATAAGCATCTGATGACAAATCCAGCTTCATCTGTTCCTCCTCCTCATCCTCGTCTCCACTGCTGCCCATCATGGCCGCCTCCTCCGCCCTGTCCTTCCCCACCATCTGGGTCAGAGTCAGCGAGGGTCTTTTTTTACTCTTTGTGGGTTTTTTCTGCGCCGGCTCTTTTCCCTTGGCTCCTTTTTTCGTCCAGCTGTTGCCCTTTTTGTGGCAATCGAGATCGAGGGCGGCGGCTGCAGCGGCGTCACTTTTGCCGGCGGTGCGGGCGTAGAGGCGGTGGAGCAGCGAGTCGGAGCCGAGCCGGATGTACTGCTGCAGCTGGGCACAGGTCCGGTCATCACTGGCACAGATCAGAACCCGACCTGGGGGACACGTTAGACACGTTCCATTTTCAGAGTAATGCAGAAAATGCAGATAAAATACTGCCATATTTAAAGTGGACCTAGCATGCTATATTTGAATAATATAGTTTAGGGCCATACCTATATAAGGCATATTTATACTTTTTATTTTTCGAAATACCAAACAGATCATACATTTTATCCATTCCTCATTTCGCTCAATTTAACACTGTCTTTGTATCATGGGCTGATTCTGTGAGAACAGCACCATCTACAGGCCTGAAATATGTACTACAGCGTCTCCAGCGCTTTCCAACGGCAATGTCCGTGGCTGTCTCCTCCTGATTGGTGGAGTTGGCCCAATAGCCGTAGCGCAACTTCTGTGACGACATAAAAGTGTTCAAATCTGGATCAGTCTGTATCAGATCCGTTGCAGCCCCTTTTTAAGAGATTTGGGTATGGAGGAAAATAGAGAGGGTTGTGTTTTCTGACACTTGGTGAGTTCCCTGGAACACCGGGGACACATGTTCATGTAGAAAAGACGTACAAAAGTGTATTTTGCATGATAGGTCACCTTTAAGTGAAGTCTGTACAATAATATAACACCTTTCGCTTTTTGATGACCATTTACACGCACTAAAACCTTTATAACACACTACAGGAAAGGGAAAACCCAAAAAAAGCACAATAGCCCCTTTAGAGTATCATTCATCAACTTCATCATGTGACTAAGACTGTCCTCTTTTGTCGATTAGTCAATTCATGGGTCATTTTTGTCCTAGTCAACAAAGATTCTACAAAGCATCTTTTTGTAATGCTGTCCAACCCTTTTCTGACAAATGTCTAAACTCATCTCTAGGAAACTCAACACATAAAGAGGTGCATTTGCACGATTCTTTGTAGAGATCTGATAAATCGAGTAATCAATTAGTCGCCCAAATCTTATTAGTGTGAGAGGACTAAGAGTTTCTTATGTCAAGGACAGAACCTAATTGGCCCTAATTCAATTCTTAATCCATCCCTTTTAGCCGACTGTTTCCTCTGCAAATACGTTTAATCTCTGATGTTCAGGTGTTAGAGCTAAATCCAAATCCTTATCTCTACCTCTTTCAAATTACTTGAGCTACTCCTTACTCTTTCCATGTATCCGCAAATAAACTGCAGAAAAAGGTACAAGTAGTCCTGATCTTAGATAACTGGCTTACTGACACACTCAAATTGAATGCAACCATTGGTTATTAGTAAAAGTATTTAGTTATAAACATGGGCTTCTCCTGCTTCAGGGTATATGCAGGAATCCTGAAGTCAAATGTAAAACCTTTTAAGAACTTTTTTAAGACCCTTTCCATACATTTTAACGACATACATCGTCACTTGGAGTTTTAACCGGTTACCTTGGCGACACACTTTACCTCACATTGACTATATACAGTATTGATTGACCTTCCTCCTTATCTTCCAACCATTTGGACGCAAACGTGCATTTCCCCATAACGATGTTGCTTAGCAACCGGCGTAAACAGACCTTCGCGCGCTATCAAGCAGTGAGCGTGCGATGTCCTGTTCAGATGACGTCAAATCCAACGGGATGCCATAAA